GGGAGAGGGACTCCCCCCTACAAAAACCTGGCTTCCAAAACTTCCGATGGTCGACCTACTCTCACATTAACCCGACCACCCATAGAGCCCTGCAGTGGCAAATAATACACAGGTGCCTACCCACACCGGACTGGCTAACTGCGAGAACAAACCTCGAAGACAAAGGGGAACTGTCTCCCCTATGCTCCTACTGCACACAGGCCTTTCCAAAGAAGAGAGCCACCCTGGAACACTGCCTATTGGACTGTCCCATGGTGGCTCAGCTTTGGAGTTGGTGAGATGCCGCCTGGCACCACCTCACAGAGACACACCTCCCGTGGAATGTGGGCACACTGCTGTTGGGGGAGCCCCTGCTGGGGGCGACACAGTGGTCCCCCTTCATGATCAACCTTTTCTCATATATCAGACTAACAGTGCTTATGGCCGCATGGCGAATGCGCTGTGCTCACGAAAGACAGCAACACACATTCGGCTTCATGCAGGCCAGATCCTCAGTAATTGATACGATCACAGCAAAGACCGAAGGGGCATGGAAACAACTGCGTTCCGTACTCGGGAATGAACCGGACCAGGCGAAGAAAAGGATCCTCGTCCGAACTTTCTCAGAGACCTGGATAGATAAAAACGGAAGGCTCTGTTTCCTGGATGACCACATCAGCCTTCATTGGCGACCCTGGCTCTCATCGGAAAGACAGTGGGAAAGACTACCGAGGCAACACTTCCAATTTTCCCACATGCCGACGAACTTCGTGCTTCTCCCGGACACAGGCCCTCCCAACCCTGCCCAGGTTAACCCCTCCTCTCCGCCCCTCCAACTTCCGCCCCCCTCACCTCCACTTCCGTCCCCTCCACCCTGAACAGATCATCCACCCCACTTCCCCCTCTCCCCCGGCCCCACCTCGCTTGCCTTTTCACTCATCCCCCCCCCCCCCCCCCACAACACCCCCCCCCTCCCGATTGCCCTTCTCTTCCCCCAAGCCGGCCAAGGGAAACATCTCCAGAGCAGAAATTGGACAAACATCCCGGAAACCACAAGAAGCTACCCAATTGGATGCTAAGCCTCCTGCTAGTCCGCCGCCCACATTTCACAGATGGACCCGGTTGGTAGCTGCCATCATCACAGCAGCATAGCGGATGGATGACTACTATGACAAAACACTACATTTTATACTAGCATGTCAGATTAGTGCAACAGATGGACCAGGTAGTTTGCTGTCATCTTAACAAGCACATCAGCATATCGGTCCGTCCCAGCTGTTACAAGACATATCTGTGCCGTCACTTACCATAGGACGTCATGCTTGGACGACTACTGTGCTTTAGGTGGTTTTCAAATAAGTCACCACATCTTGTAAAGGCAGGACAGTTTAGTTCACCTGTTGCAATGCATGTCTACATCATCACTCACCATAGGAAGTTAGGCTAAAGACGACCAATAGAGCCCATGAGTTTTGTTAGACAACGCACAATTACATAATGCAATAAACACACACTCACTTAGGTAAAGATCGTCAGTCAAAGCCACAGTAACAACAGTATAACCTATAAACCAGAGTCAACAGAAGACTGGGCTGCCTCAGTGTTCGGCCCCCTTATGTACAATACCATCTGATGGTCACATTTCTTTTTCGCACTGCACTTTCATAGGACTACACATACACACTGATAGTTACTCCAAACAACAGCAACAAGCAGTATAATAGATAACTCATAAGATCAGAAGGCTGGGCTGCCTCTGTGCCCAGTCCCCTTATGTGCACTGACATTACATGGATACATTCTTTGGTTGCATTATAATTCACAGGGACACTGGACCCGATTTCCAGCAGGTGCTGCTCCCCACCAATAGATGGAGCCTCCCCGGCTGTTCTAGTGGTGTCTGCTCACACCAGCACCCCTAGACCCGGTCGGGGCAGTTTCTTTCAAAAAAAAAAAAAAAAAAAAAAAAAAAAAAAAAAAAAAAAAAAGGATAACTCCGGGTTGAATTGTGAGGTCGCCGGCCTAGGTTCACTTTGTATATTGAATAACAATGAAGGGACGGTTAAAAAAGTGAAGCACAGTTTGCAGTATGGGCCAAGATACAGTTTGCAATTGCAGTTCGGGCAATGTATACAACCCAGCTTTCTGCCCAGGTAGGGTGCCCCAAGTGCAATTGCAAACTGCATCTTGGCCCATAGTGCAATTATAGCTCTTTTTTTACCCCTCATAAAAATAAAAATTTTGCTCAGTCGGATCACAGTGCAGCGTAATTTTCAAGTGAAGCACAGTAGAACTTTTTGGACTGGACTGGGTACGTCCAGGAAAGTGCTGATCTGAGCTGCCCTGGTATTCTAGGGGCAAGCTGACACTCCCCGGACTCTTCGTTTCCGGGCGTGGATGAGGAACATCTACGGCCAGAGATGCAGAATCTGGTTGGGTGAGACCCCACCCTAAGGTTTGTGCTAGTGGTCTGCAGAGTAGGTGCAGTCCGACAACTGGTCACAAAATGTTTGTGGGTTAGTGGTTCTCTTTTATATGTGAGTGTGATGGCCTTGAGATATCATCTTCAAACTGACCAGCACCAGGTAAATTCAGTGCTATATAGTCGTCTGATTGCATGGGGATTCGAACTGCGGTCTACATTTCGACAGTTCCTGGCTGTGCCCACTGAGCTACCAGTGGTGGCCTCGTCGGTGGGTTAGTGGTTCCCATCCGCGGTCATGCCAGTCATGCCAGGCTACCGTTCACAGCTCACAGCAGGGGAGGGGTCGTTCGTGACGGAGCGTCACATTGGCGGGGCGGAGTGAGAGGTGGAGGACGTTAGACGGCTCAGGGCTCTATGGTCACCCTGGCCGCATAAAAAGTGAAATGAAAATTGTGAAAACCAAAGCTGGCAGCTTGGCATGGGAAAGGCTCAGTATCTGTCTGCATGCCAGCTCGTCAGGGGTGCCTGCTGGGTTGGCCCCAGATATGGAGCGGCGCGCGCGAGAGGACAGAGGTGGAGGGTCGCTCTCGGACCCCTCCAGCCTATCAGTACCTCAGCCTCCCCTTCTCCTCCCCTGACGTATTCGATCTCCTGCAGTGGGGTTCTTCATGTCGTTCCCGTCTTCGCCCCCTCCTGCGTCCGTCTGTCCATCTTGTCCTTGCCGCGTTTCAAGAAGGTGTGGGTGCGGGTATGGGGTGGCGGTACTTCCTGCTCGCGCCTTTTGTTTCGAATTCAGTTGTTTGTTCTTTGTTCGACTCCGATATTCCACGTGTTCTTTATGCGATGAGTGTTCGGTGAACCTCCCGGGCTTGGCGTGCTTTTGTAGGTGGAAAGGGAAGTTCCTCCGCGGGTCAGCTTATTTGAGTGAGTGCGCGCGTGAGGGCGCGCCAAGTGGGCGTGCGTGCGCGCCAGTCCGAGTCTACACCTGCGCTCAAGCGCGCGCCAATCCGAGTCTACGCCTGCGCTCAAGCGCGCGCGATTGGTCGGTTATGTGTGCCTCTGCGCGCACGGTGCTCGATGATCCTCGTTGCGCCTCGCATGTCTAAGGGTCAGCGAGTCTGTAAGGCGTAGTGCGGCGCTGCGCGGGGTGGGTGGCGGTGTGTGCGATCGAGCGCATCGTGCGCACGTGTGTGCGTGCTGCCTGCGCTCTCGGGTGCTCGGTTCGTGCAATACCTGTGTGTGCGGCATGTGCTCGCGCGTGTGCGGGTTTGTCCCCTTGTTCGAGCATAGATGAGTCTGTGCGTGCGCCGCTGTGTGCGTGCGTGCCTCTCTCGGTGTGTGTGTGTGTGTGTGTGTGTGTGTGTGTGTGTGTGTGTGTGTGAGCGCGCGTTGATTCCGGTGATCTGTCGATCGAGTGAAAGCTCCTGTGCTCAGTTGAACAATCTTCGTGGCTTCCAGTATTGTAATGTAGTTGAGCCTGAGCTGCTGGAGACGATGAGCGGGTTGCTCGTTTGTGATTGATTGGGGATATATTTCTAAACCAAGGGGGACCTGAAATCAAGCGACTCCAACCAAGGAGTACTGGAGGTACATACAGATGGGGGAAAGAGCTCGCCCGCTATTATCCTGGGAATGCGTGGCAGTTGGTTAACGTCAGGTCTCTGGACTGCATTAAGACGCACGAATGGATGGATTGGTTGTTGTTGATGAGG